TTAAGTAATTCATCACTGGATTTAGACTAATTAAATGCATAAAGGCAACATTTAGCTAATAATTGGATAAATGAATTCAGAAGTTTAACACAATGGCATTGTTTGCTCTGTTTAGTCAGGTTAGTTGTGTGTAGTATGAAATGAAATATTGTGTGAAGGCTTTTCAGACAGGACCAATCATACATTAACAAAGCTACTCGTGTACGTGCGTGCAGAGAAGAGGTATACTGTCACTATTATTTGAATGAATAATCAACTGCTGATTTTAGTAGTCAGAAATCATTCCAATGTGTAACTCAAACCATGCCTTTCATGTGAAGCTTTTTCTTCTTTGATGAGTTGTCCAGGACTCAGGTTGAATAGATTCTGGATCTCAGTGGAAGAAAGTCCTGGTTAAATAAAAGTAAAAAAACAAACTCAAATGAAACACCCTTTTTACTCCATATGATTCAACTTTTGTTGTGTCAACAGCTGCAGGAAGTCATGATTTACTGTGGTAACAGCAGCATGCTATAATAAGTGTGTTATGACAAACAGAGCGGGTCGTTTGAGATGATGCAACAAAGCTTTCATGATATATTCCTATTTTCGGACCCTCCCTGTTGCTTTACATTCATTCAGACTTATTGCCTCTTAGGTCTGACCCTGCTGACCAAATGTATCACAATGTACAGTTTATCCTATAATTATATATAATATATAAATACTAGCATCTTTATATTAATGTTGAGCACCCTGAAGAAAAGACAGAAAGTGGTGATGACATCACTGAGTGTGTTGCTGCTGACAGACTGCCCCCTGCTGGGGAAAGCAGTGTAGTGTGTGTGTGTGTGTGTGTGTTTGTGTGTGTGTGTGTGTGTGTGTGTGTGTGTGTGTGTGTGTGTGTGTGTGTGTGTGTGTGTGTGTGTGTGTGCGTGCGTGTAGTCTCTTGGGTCTATAATGTATTCCTTTTGCTTTTTTTATTTTATTTTAAACTCTTAAATTAATATACATAAAATCTAAAAATAGAATTAAGATATTGACATGAACAAATAAGGTCAAGTAAAAAGGTGCAATACAAAGATTGAAGAACAAATATTGATATGAAAAATAGGAGGTTAATATTGACCCTTTAAGGTAAAAATGTCTTTGGAGACATTGGATTGTTTTTTGGAGTAATGTCAGAATATAATGACATGTTGTTCACATGCATCTCCTTTTACTCCTTTGAGCTACTCTATCAATCCGTGCTGCACAGAGGACATGCTGGGCTGTCCAGTGATGTCACTGGTTAGAAATGCATGCTGGGACGTTCCTCTTTCTTTCATCCAAAATGTCCTGCATACCAACAACAGCATTTTATAGGAGGGGGGGAATGTCAAATATTGTTAATCTATTGTTAGTTTTACCATGAGAATCATTATGTTCTTGTTTATTAACATGTGAGGAACTATATAATTAGTTATGAAAGCAATTCAATAATTAGAGTTTTGAAATAACAGCTCTTTTAAAAATGTCCATTCTAGTGGAGGTCAGGACCATCTTCATGGACTTAATGACTCAATATTGTTGCAGGAGATGGAACTGAAGCAGACATTTTCTGTACCAGATAGTTCACCTGTTGAGCTCTGAGCCTGTTTCTCAGGTCTCAGGCTCGAAAATGACATGCCCAGAACAAATGACTATAACTTCACTTCAAAAAGGGTTAAATTAATAATAATTGTTCTCAAAGTAATGATAAACCTGTGAGTTGGATGTAGAACAGTCAGAATCAATATAGAATTGTTTTATTTTAAAGTAAATTCAGATTGAACATAGTAAAAAACTGTAAATGATAGTGTCCGTCCAAAAGAAATACATTACTTATAGTGAAAACCACCCTTGAATGATGGGATTGTAGACTAAAAGCTTTAGGAATCCAAACTATAACATATAATAAGTACCCTGTGTCAAGATTGATGCAAAACAAGTGACATTTGACCTTTTCAGAGAGGTTTAGCAAAAAACAAACACTTCTGGGGTCATTTGGGTGGATTTGCCATATCTCTGGCCCCCCTTGCTCGATTTTGATGATTGACATCTCTTTTGAACCGTTAGAGCCAATAGAATCCTAAATCCATCTAAACGTTTCCATTGAGGAGTGAGAGTGATGCGCACGCAGTTTGCCCAAAACCAGAAGCTGGGTTGTATAGCTCTAATAGCTGCTAATATGAAATCTCAGTTTTTGACAAAAATGGAATGCTGGATTATCAGTAATCCTTTCAAAGTGACACAGAGACATTGGATTAACCTATGGATTAACCTTCAGCAGCGTTTTTATGGTTTTAATGCCATTTAACACAACTTTTGATCAGAAACAGCAAAGGAAAGACTATTTGCCGTTTTTGCTCCCGTAAAGCTACGTCTTGTGTTGTCTGGGTTTGCCTGAGCTGCGGAGAGTTTTGGTCAGAGTGACTGACAGACTGCAGTTTAAATAGCAGTGATGTCATCAGGTGGACCAATCAGGAAGCACCTGCTCTCTCACACACACACACACACACACACACACACACACACACACACACACACACACACACACACACACTAAGGTGAGCAGAGAGATCTCAGAGAAAGATAGGTTCTTCCTCACATTTTAAATGGACTGCATTGACAGAGGGCTTTTTTCTAGTCTTTTACAAATGTAACTGTAATTTGATGACATCGTTTTTATACAACTGTAAGGGAATACAGTTATTTTGTTGTATCACAATCAAGTAATCCCGTTAGATGTAATACGTCTCTCCCCTAGCCTGCCCATCTATCTCCTGTTCCAGATTCATTTACCAACTACAGCTAAAGTTTACCGGCTTCAATAGATTTATCCTCAGAACACCATTTATTCAACATACATCATCCCTTTATCCGTTTCAATATCTTTTATTTTAGCTACAAAAGGGTCAAATGTGAGCTCATGTTGGATCACAGGTCAAAGGTCGCTCCATCTCACCTCCGTCCAATCAGCAGATGTTCAGAGTGGTTCAGGAGATGATTTGAAGAGTTGATATCTTCATCAGATCAGCTGCTCCCAAATCTGCTTCCTGTTTTCTCCCCTAACTCGATTTCTGTAACGGGCTGGGAGCTGGTGGTGCTGCTATCAGATGTTATCAGCTGTTCAGCCGGCGGCCAACCAGCAGCTTCCTCTCCAGAACCCCTCAGAGAGATCAGAGCTGAAACATGAGAGCGCCATCCACTGCCACCAGAGGTGTTTCCTTACAGTTCAAGGATTCAACAAACCCACATGCTGGTTATGCTGTTTTACTGACTGATTGGTTGGGATGTAAATAAAACTGAACGTTTCCCCTCTGTCCCCACAAATCCTGCCATCACCTCGGACTCTTCAGACAGGAAACTGTGTTAGAGGACTTTAAGGATGCATTAAAGCAACCTTATGTCACTTTTCCCTTAAAAACCTTTCCTTTTGCATTTGGATGCTAGACGGACTTGTGAGAGGGAGAAAGGTTTCTGTCAGACAGCTCTTGTAATTCAACCTAACTTTGGGTTTTCCAACGTTCTGAATCTAATTGCAAATGCCTGTTGCCTTCACTTCTCTTTTCTTGCGCTTAGTCGCTCGAGAGGAGGATGTAGGAAAGGAATAAAGGATGTACAAAAGTCCTTCCATCACCTTCAACCCTTTAGAGCTGTGCATTCGTTGATCCACTGCTAAAGAATAAGAGGTGCTGTGCATTAAAGCAACAATATGTAACTCCTCCCCCTAAAATAACAATAATAATGTTTACATTTTGATGCTGGACGGACTTGTATTATGGAGAAAAGTCTGTCTGTCAGTACTTTTAATCTAAAGTTAGTAAAGGAATCAAGGATGTACAAACCGAGGAATGATAACAGACAATAGTGTGTATATTCATGACGTGTGGTTCATATGTGTTTTTAAGACACTAGAAAATCACTAGAAACATCTTTTCAATGTTTTAATGCCGTTTTATTTTGGTCAAGAAATGAATACAAAAAAGTGTATCTCGAGCCGGTTTCTCAAACTTACCAACCCTACCTTTAAAGGTGGGGTTGGTAAGTTTGAGAAACCGGCTTGAGATACACCTTTTGTTATATTCCATGGAATGCTCTTAACATCCCGATAGCAATGAATATCTTAAGTGCTTTGACAAAAAATCCATAAAAAAATGTCATCTGTGGAAGCCGTAATACTGTAAAAAGCACGACCAATCATTTTAGCCGGCCCGGCTAAAATAACTGGATGGCCTACCTGCCTGTCAGCCTTCCATCTGTGCACAAACTTATCTCGTGCCCTCATTGGTCATGTGCTCGTTCGTGTGTGTTGGAGGAGGGGCTCTGTAAGGAAGTGCAGATTTTCTCCGGTTGTGTATTTTCAAATTCTAGCGATCTCGCGCCGGTTTCTCAAACTTACCTACCCCACCTTTAAGCAAGGCACTGCACCGCTAACTCAAACCGGGCACTGAGACGTAGCAGCCCGTTTGTTTGAAAGCTCCCATTTGATTCATGCATGCACTCGTTCTGTAGATACTGACAGTGATAAGAGAATCTGCCCTGTGTGTCTGATTGACCCAGAGGCAGCAGAGAGGTTACTAGGCATTAAGGCAGACAGGAAACGTCATCCCAAATGGTGCTGAAACATGCATTGGTTCCAGAAACCCGCTACAACTAAAAGCAGCCCTCCTATTTAATGGTTTATTCAAATGATTGACACCACTTTGAAAACTAAAGTCAAACATCCATAATAATCCCATGTTACAGTGTGCATGCAAATGTGCTGCAAGTGTGCTTTCTACGAGTTAACGATGAAGCTGGCATTTTAACTGTAAGCAGAAAGGAAAAGTAAACATGTGTATGTTCTTTTCTGGGGATCCATGTCTGAAATGACATGTACTTTGTGGTTGTTATTAAAGTGCACAGCATGCGTGCGTTTCAGTGTGAAATCCTAATTTTGAATGGTCGTAGGATTTAATCGTGAAATGCATTTTACTGCCCAAGCACAACAGAAACAATTCAGATTTAACATGTTTTATTTTTCTCATTCGTCACACTTTCAATTCCATCGTATACAGGCAGTTGAACTCAGGCTGTAACCGCTGAGAAATGAGCCAGTGCCTGAACGTCACGCTGACACATGACAGAAGTGGATGTGGGGGCACTGCTCATGATTAAGCCCCCTGTGTCAAATTAAATAACTACATTTAAAAGAAATTAGGCGACAAAAATATTAAGACTTTTTCTAGAAATCGGGCAGGTGACGTGCTTTGGTGGTGATTTGGGCAGCAGTGCTTCTCTTTACACCGGATCTCTCAGTAAACGCATCCAGAAACAGAGCATCTCATCCTGTGTTAGCGCTACACAGGGCAGCGCTAATGCAAATACATTGGAATAAGGCCGCTGTACATTTAACCGTTTAGTTTGTAATCACCTTCCACCTCGAGACAGAGAGGGGCTCAGATAGAGAAGCATCAGGGTGGGTTTTATTCCATAAAGGGACAGGGAATGACAAACAGAGTAAGGCTAACAGCCACTGTAGAAATGTTTCAGAAGAGTGATGATGAGGAGGAAGAGGAGGCGGTGGAGGTCTGAAGGGATTGGCATTAAAACTAAGATGGTGTCAGCTGAAGAACAGGGCTGGACTTTGCTTTAGAGGCCCCCCTTCGCCCGCTCTGATTAGAGCTGCACAATCAATGGAAATGTTGTCAAATTTCTAATATGGACTCAAATATAAAGCCACAATCAATTGCGAGCAGTTTGGTATAATACGTTTGATCTCACTTAATAAAGCAGAGCCAGGTGTTTCCAAACTTCTTGGATCCACACGGATGCATCAGTAGTTATTTGATATTAAAAAGGGGAAGAAACAAACACAATCGTCTCCACGTCCCTGAAAATCTGACACATGGGGTCCAAAATGTAAACACCAATCTATCCACTTCCTCTCCTCTCCCCCCCAGGGGTGGGCGCTCAGTAGCGGTAGTGGTCCGGTTTGAAGGGCCCCTCGATGGGCAGACCCAGGTACTTGGCCTGTTTGTCTGTCAGCTTGGTCAGCTTCACCCCCAGTTTGTCCAGGTGGGCGGCGGCCACCTGCTCGTCCAGCTGCAGAGACAGAAAGGTCACATTAATCATGTGTATCCTTATAGTTCTGATGTGGTTACTGATGCAGTTTGTGTTCAGGTTCTTTGAGGATAGGGCAGCATGTGTTGTACTACCTTGCATGCTTTGCTTTGGAAACACTGTTTTCTATGGTCATGACAATAAAGCTTTGAGCCAGGTTTTGTTTTAGGCCAAAGGTGGAATGATATTGCCACCTAGTGGTGAACTATGCAGCTTACAGCCAGTTAAGAAACAGATGTTTGATTCCCTATCTGAAAAGGCTTCTCAATTTATTTGAGTTTTGATTATTTTGACTACTTTACTTTTTTAATATGTGGATATAACTTTATTTTTGATTTAACACACAAGCTTGTTTAAAAAAAGAAATCGGAGGAAATGTTTTTTTTTTATAGCAATTATAGTTTACTTGACAGCAATGCCGTCTTTGGCTTTTTACTTAGACTAAGATTATGAAAAGGGCAGTTAATGAAATTGCAGATTATGTCCGAAAACAGTTATGAAAAGCAAATGAGCATCACAAATTAAATACTGTGTGGTATTTCTGTTTGATAAAGTACAATGACGCACTCAATCAGGGTCAATAGGGTTTGGAGCTTTTGAAATTCAAAGTCAAAACAGGGGAAGCCTAACTTTAGTGAACACATGCATGATCTCAAGTTTCCAGCCTCCAATTAGTTTTTGCTATGAGAAAATCTAAACGTGTGCGTCACCCCACATTGAGAACATTTGGAGTAAGACTCACTTGAAAGCAGTGGACTTTCTACAGAGCTTCTCTAAATATTTACAAACCTGAATTTGTCCTGCAGGTTTACAGAGGATGAGATCAGACATAACAAATGTAATGGTCAATAACATTTGAACTTTAATGACTCAAACACGGCAGTCTTAACGGATTTGGAAGTGATCTGTTTGTGCATCTGCGAATACAAAAGTCTGTGTTGGCTCAACCCGATCCCTCAAGCTCTACACGTGCAGGTCAAATGATCTTCTTCAACAGCAGCTCCCTCTTTCCGTAATTCCTGTTTTTTGTCCATTTTAATTCATCACATCTGAAATTGACTACTCTCGTTTGTTCACTGGTTTTCAGGCTTATTCACCTTTTGTCAGATCACTGACCTGAGAACGTCCTCAAAACAAATAGATTTGAAGACATCTAGATCCCTCTTTCTTTAACAGACAGATTGTTTTCATTTTATCCTGAAAACACTTAGTTCTGTTCTCGTGTTAAACCTTTAGCCTCAAACTACATTTGTATTAGAGCTGCTCGATTATTGCAAAAATCATAATCTCGATTATTTGGGTCAATAATTGATATCACGATTATCCATTTACTTTGAAAACATCCATTTATTGAATTTTTTTTTTTGAAAAGTAAAACAGTTGATTACCCTGAACTTTAAGTATAATTCAACTGAAAAAACAATACAAAATTAAATTAAAAAATAATAGTTTTATTTCGATGTTTTCATAATCGTTGCAAGCCAAAATCGTAATTGCGATTAAAATACGATGAATTGAGCAGCCCTACTTGGGTATGACCAATCTGAACACTCAGTGATCCTCTGTCATTTTAAGCTCATTTTGTTTAGTTTTATTAAGTTTGACTCATTTTTCAAACAATCGAAACTTAAATACAATTGTTGTCAAATTCACTATCACCTTTTATTTTTAAATAGTTTTAATACGCTCTTTTGCAGAACAGTAAAAACAAATGTTTTCTCTTTAGCAAAAAGTATGCTAGCATGGCACCAAAGACCGTTTGTAAACAACTTGTATACCTGTAGTTATCCCCATGTATCCCAAGCTGCAGTACATCAAGAGCAGCTGTATCTCCCACCCTTTGTCCTAGTGATGTCTCATCAAATACACAGCATTATCAACATGTGGACACTGACCTTCTTGGGCAGGAAGTGGACTCCGATGGGGTATTTGTCCGTGTTCTTCCACAGCTCGATCTGAGCCAGAACCTGCAGGGGGGGGGGGGGGGGGAATCAGACTCTTTCACAAACTGTTTCATAAAGCAGATTAAGTGACATTATGTCAAGGCTGTACATTTAAATTGCGTTTGTTGGAGACTTCGAAGTATGCCTTTCACATGCTTACATGATCGACCCATCCTATGGATATAACTAAAGATCATTTTCTTTGACCAAGTCTTTGCTTGTTGCATTAGCATGCGTGTTCATTTGCACATGAACGTGAAAAACATTCCCATAACCATTGTGAGACTTGGGCATTACACATTTCTGTAAACAGCTCCTATTCATTGTTTTGGCAGTGTGCTTATTTTTTTTATTTATTCACACTCTAATTCCGTTGAATATTCTTACCATTCAATAAAAGGGTGTACATGCATTAAAATCATTACATTAGTGATATAAAGTGACAAAACTATTGTTTATCCCTCCAGTCGTTATGGTGACCGGCGTACTTCCATTATTTCTCTGTGGCCTCAGTACCTGGTTGGTGAAGGAGTTGCTCATGACGAAGGACGGGTGTCCCATGGCGCAGCCCAGGTTCACCAGGCGGCCCTCGGCCAGGAGGATGATGTGACGGCCACTCTTCATCCGGTAGCGATCCACCTGAGGAGGAGGAGGAGACACAGATAGATGTTACTGAAAGATACAGAAGAGAGCAGGCGCTAAACTCTGAAGCCTTTAATATTGAGATGTTCCTACCTGAGGCTTGATGTTGATCTTCTCTGCAGCGTTCTTGTTGAGCCAGCTTATGTCGATCTCACAGTCAAAGTGTCCGATGTTGCACACAATGGCGTCGTCCTTCATGTTCTCAAAGTGACTGAAGGGCAACACAAAATAATTACCACTCGGCTTGTTAAACTGCAGTGAGCGTCATTAGACACTAATATCTAGGATATTTTAATCATTTGGAGTTTTACTAGAAACGTACTGTCCCACGATGATGTCCTCGCAGCCGGTGGTGGTGACGAAGATGTTTCCTTCCTTTGAAGCTTCATCCATGGTGGTCACCTCATAACCTAGAGAGCAACAGAAGGAGAGAGATCAGTCAGTAAATACCCCACTGGTGAAGGTCTTAAAACTGCATCTGCTAACAAGTGGCTACATGAGACTGCTAAAACATCATCAAGCCAAACATTAGCCGCCTTTAGGTTAGCGGCGATGAGGGGAAGTCTGCGGCCATGAGCTTTTCAGGAGATTGCATTTATGCTTGAAAAAAATAAAAATTGGCATGTCATACAAAACATATAGGTGTGTTTGCCAAACAAGTTATTTTCTGCAGTGATGCAAAGGAAAAATGTATTGGCTTTTTGTCCAGTAACCACCACTTCATTGTATCTCAGAAGAAATATTGTTTTTAATTTGTTTTGAAGAAAAGAAACATGTCTTTATTTTGAAATAACGATTCAATTCACGCAAGTTTGACTTTTTTTCTTATTAAATGACTTGTGCAGTTTACAGATGTTCGATACGATCTTAACAGATGTGAAACTTGAGGCAAGATTTTAATCTCATCGCCCTCAAAATCCAGACAACTTTCTGTGTTTCTGAGGCTGTAGCAAGCTCAAGTTTATAAAAAGAAAATCGGGGGGGGGAATCGGGGGGGCTTAAAGATTCTTCAGAAGTGGTCAAACATTTTTTCAAAACCAAACACAGCAAGATTTTGTTATGGTGTTCCTCACCAGTGTCTTATTGTGGGTTTATATTCCATGGAATGCTCTTCACATCCCGATAGCAATGAATACATTAAATGCTTTGATAATAAATACATACAAATATTTCATCTGTGGAAGCCGTGGCGCTGTAAAAAGCTAGTCCAGTTATCTGCCTCGGCCCGCGGCAGATAACTGGATGGCCTACCTGCCTGTCAGCCTTCCATCTCGTGCACAAACTTATCTCGTGCCCTCATTGGTCATGTGCGCGTGTGTGTTGGAGGAGGGGCTCTGTAAGGAAGTCTGAAGGAAGGGGCAGATTTTTTTCGGTTGTGTATTTTCAAATTCTAGCGCACTCGAGCTGGTTTCTCCATTCTACCTTACCTTTAATTAATTACGTTTCAGTTTCAAGTTAAGACAAGCAATGGGATTAAAAAGAGAAGAGCTTCATCTTAAATTAATGACCAGGTTTGTAGCTTTCACCTCTGACAAATACTATTGACTTCTTTTCCAACACTAAACACAAGAAAACGGGGTTTATTGCTAGGAGTAAACCCTTAAAAAGGTAACGAATGCCCTGCAATATTTAAGTATTTTCCTTTTTATGACTTAAGTATATTAGCCGCTTTCACACCAAGTACTTTGCCGTACTTAGTTCCCAGCACTTAGTTCTACTGAAGCCCTCCTCATCACTCCACTGCTCCCATGTTTTCTTTTGTGTTGCCATAAGTTATTCTCTCTCCATTGGTGCGTGGGGCTAATGCTAATAATGCTAATGCCAGCAAATACAATGGCGGCTTCACAAAACTTTTCAGAGTTTTACGGGGCGTGGTTTGCAATCAGAAATTGGAACTTTTTTTCTCCCCAGGAAAGTACCACCTCTCTAGCAGGCACTAAAAAGGGGGGGAAAGTTCTCATGAACTAAGTTCTTTTTGGTGTGAACGCAAAACCCCAGGAACTATCGGAACTAAAAGGGAAAAGTACTCCGGTGTGAAAGCGCCTATTGAGTTGTTGGAGGAGCTTTGGCCTTGAGATTTTAATTGCCAATAACTTCCATTATGCAGGGGTTGTGCATATGACAATAAATCCTTTAAAATCAGACTACTTTGAACTTATATTTGCGTCCTCTCTCCATGATGTTGTTTAGGGAATCATCCTCTACCTTCCATGGCGGCCTGCAGGGCGTTGATGGGGTCAACCTCTGTGACGATGACGCGGGCTCCGAAGCCGCGCAGAGCCTGGACGCAGCCTTTGCCCACGTCCCCGTACCCAGCCACCACCGCCACCTTACCGGCAATCATCACATCCGTGGCTCTCTTGATGCCGTCGATGAGACTCTCCCTGCAGCCGTACAGGTTGTCAAACTTACTCTGCAGGGAGGGACACACACAAATATATATTATATATTTTTCAACCGGATGTCAACTTTAATTGCAGATAGATATACCAGTTCACATTGAGGGCCTGGTGTCAGAATCGGATTTTGTAACGATATCCCCTCATTCAAAGTCACTAAAGCTGAATAATTATACAATAATACTTTGTCTGATCGATTCATTACAAATATGCCTCAAACAAATGTGAAGCATTAAGACAGATCATTCTATCTGGGAGCATTTTATGTATTTATGGAATATGAGAATAATTCCTTAGCATTGAAAAAGATATTTTTTTGAACTCAATTCACTTATTTATAAATTATAGTTATGAATTTGTATTAATTTTATAATCCATTTAGTATTGCTGTTTTTTTACTTTCAAATGTGGAAAATGAATAAAGACCAATTATTAAAAAAGAACAGTAGTTGTCAAGATATGAGAAGTTTGATTGAATAAAAGACTGCAAACGCTCTCAGAACCTCAACAAACGTGCTTAAAATGTAGTATTTTATACATATTAACTTAAAGCTACACAAACAAGAATTATAAGCTATTTTGCCCATCTTCTATTCGCACTATAGATACAGCTGAAGAGGATAAAAAGGTGGAGGCTGCGTACCTTTGTGACGGAGTCGTTGACGTTGATTGCGGGCATTTTCAGCTCGCCATTTTTCATCATCTTGTACAGGTTGTGTACACCTGTAGTGGTCTCCTCTGAGACACCACGGATACCTAAAACACAGGGTCCCAGGGTTAATGAGAAATATCATTATAGATATACTTCTCCTGATGAACAAGTGAAGAAATCCCCCTGATGGTGAGGACAGCGAGGTTACTAGAATCACTTTTAGAATTCAGAAAGCCTGACTGCACTCGTGTTTCTAAAGTACCGGGGGGCTAGAAGAGAATAGCTAGTTAATGCTATCTGTGAGCAAGTGTGCAGCAAGTGTCCTTGTGGCAAAATAACACAGCTAAAGGCTAATGTTAAAAAAGGTTGCATTGAGATGCATTCAAGTTATATTCTGAATAATGTATTATTTGGTGAATGAAAATGATTAAGTTCTGTAGAATATCATGTCATAGAAACTATGAATACTGTCTCTGTTACACATCGATTGGTATGGTGGTCTGACATCGGTATTTTTGCTTTCAACAGTTGTGCTGGTTTTAAAAAAACAGGCTTGCATATTAACAAGCATGTGAATACAAATGAACAGAACGTGTCAAGGTGTTGGTGAGAACCACTCGGAGCTCTTAAGAGTGAGTCTCAGTGCAGACTACTACCGTCTGTCTGCCTCCCTGGGACACAGCTGAACACATCACGTTTATTATCACCTTTACATGCATCAGTGTGCTGGAGAATATCTTGGAGCTTTGTTTTATTTGTTACGTTTTTTTAAATTACAAGATACAAAACTAACAAACTATGGTAAAGTGTACAAATGTAAGGTTTATATATAAAAATACTAGCTGTGAATGAAAGTTCAAGATAGTGTAAGATGAATGAACTCTGGCAACTAATCAGCTTGTGTCAGACCACTGCCGCCATCTAGTGTCCAAAACTCTACATTTCATGAATATGGTACAGAGTGGGAACTCTCCTCCAGCCTCTGAATGCCTTTCACACGGCAGCAGACATTTATGAACAGAAATGCAGCCAAAAACAATAACTACCAGACTGAGATGACTGGTGGTGAAACACAGGGTTCCTAAAGTCATGGTAGATTCAAAACCTTGAGACTTTTTAATGCAACCCATTATGAAATTAACAACCAATTTTGCGCCAAATTTTCCCACCGCTTAGATCCACGTGATGTTAATGCTTGAGGCATAAGATAGATATTACCCATTTTTGGAGATTTTAAATTGCAACTTAAAAAATATTAATTAAAATCCTATTTCCCATGTCTTTACCTTTGGAATACTTAAGATGAATATGTATAAAAGTAAATCAAAGTGACATTTTAGATTACCACAATTAAAGTGGCAACAAAGTAGAGGAATAACAGAGAGAGTGTATTGTCATCAACTTCTTATTTCTATACCCTCCTTAGACTAGGGAACAAGGGGTAAACAAACATCATTATTATAACGGTGTAAACCCACCTGCGAGCAGTTTGGGGTATTTGGTGTGGACCATGTTGGTGAGGTCTCCTCCGTCGTCCAGGATCATGTTGAGGGGCTGACCGTCCTTGAAGTACAGCGTCTGCTCGATGCACCAAACATACTCCTCATCCGTCTCTCCTTTCCACGCGTACACTGCAGACACAGGGATAGATTCACTCATCTCTTTCTGCAGAGCCAGGTGATAATGCCCATCCTGAGGCAGGGGATCTGGATCTGTGGTGAGAACCACTCCGAGCTCTCAGAGTGAGTCTCAGTGCAGACTACCACCGTCTGTCTGCCTCCCTGTGACACAGTTGAACACATCGGCTGGGCTGCAACGCCTCAAGGGGCCATACATCACACATAATAAATATCCTTTTTAATGTCATCTGAAATTATTTTCCTGTAGCTAGATTCATTTACTGGTATATTGACATAAATTGGTAATAGCTAATTATTTGAGACTCCATTATTAAGGGTGAGAACTGTTTCTTTTCACACCAAAACACACAAAGCCTTCACATCAACAGTGGAGGCACTTATAAAGATTATTTTGTCTCAACAGGCAAATATGAACAATGCAGTTTTTTTAATCTTTCCAATAAACGTATGACTGCATCCACAATGAGCTGGCTTTGGTTTCTTAAAGCTCCCATGTCATGCTTTTCCAGTTATTACCCGTCCCCTTGTGTGTTATGAAGGTTTTTATGCATGTAAACGGTCTGCAGAGTCAAAAACCCTCAAAGTACACCCTGTAGGGAGTAAAACTCTAACACAGAAAATACCTCCCCAAAACGCCTCGTTGGAGATTTCTCATTTACTTCCTGGGTATCGCTTCGTAGGGACACCCAGTAGCCACGCCCAGAGCTATGGCCGCACCCTCTGCCAGCCTTTCACGAAACAAAGCTTCCCAAACCTTTCAGCGATTCATGCCGGATATGTACAGCGTAGGGCACTGAAGAACGATGCTGTTCCTACTTTGTTTGAACCAGCGGGAGATTCGGGTACACAACCTGTAAGTATTCATTGTTGTTTGTGTATTTGTGATGTTTAAAACAAACAAGGTATCTACCACGACTGTTTAAATGGGTAAACGTTTTTCGGGCTGCTAAGTTGGGATCGCGGAGAAATGCTCTCCGTGGACCCATTTTCACAGCGTTATAAACCTTTTTCTTACTCAATATCAAGCCACACTTATTGTTTTTATTTCGGCTGCGAGTGTTTGTGTGTACTCAGGATGAGTTTCCCTTGTTCTCGCTGTATCGCGGACACGGAAGCCTGTCCCCTCCTCGCAGCAACGAGCAGCTGCACGTCGCGTGACCAATCAGAGCACACTGGGCTCACAGGGAGGGGGGGGAGGTGCTCCAACAAGCCGTTTAGGACAGAGTGAATACACATACTATACAGAGATGCTGTATGAGAAACCAATGTGAGTTTGGAAAATTGCACAATATAAATCTATTTAAGTATACCTCAACAATGGAATTATGATCAGTAGAAATGGCCATGACATGGGACCTTTAACCTGTTACGCACCGCCGCCCCGGTACCGGGCGGATAAACGCGTCATTTGCAGGAAACAACGTCTAAGGAATCTTAATATTGAATAAACTATGAATGTTTTATATCCATGTAACGGGAAGAAACTCAGCTAACTGATCTTTTTAAAAAATGTTTAAAAAAAAAAAACCCACAATGCTAACACTCAGCCTCTGAATTAGCCACGAGCGAAAAAATGTAACCTATCTCTGCACCTAAACTCACTCATAACTCCCTCATTACTTATCCTAGATGCACAGCCAACCCATCGATTAGCATCAGCTGGAGACACAGAATCTGGGGGTGCCCACCTCAACACTCAGTGATAAACATTTGCGACGCTATAAACGAAAGCGTACATCATAACATGTGGAGCTAGGTAGCTAGAAACGCTAACATGGCTTACCTTGGTCAAAACTGGTCTTCAATGGCATTAAAACGATAAATAAAACGATGCTGCAGTTAATCCATAGGTTCATCCAATGTGTCTGTGCCCTCTTTGAAATGATTTCTGATAATCCATAAGCAATAAAACTGCTTTTTTGTTTCCAAATGTCAGAGCGAGAGATCGGTCCACTCTGCTGCAAAATTACATGCGCGAAGCACCCACCTCTTCACAACGTGTGTGTGGGGGACTCCCCCTTCAATTCTATTGGCTCTAACGGTCAGAAAGAGGTGTCAACCATCTAAATCGACCAAGGGGGGCCAGAGATATGGAAAAAAAACATTTTCACCCAAATCACCTCAGAGGTGGGGTGGTTTTGGCTAAATCTCTCTAAAAAGGTCAAATGTCACTTGTTTTGCATCAATCTTGATACAGGGTACTTATTATATGTTGTACTTTGGATTCCTAAAGCTTTTAGTCTACTAACCCATCATCCAAGGGTAGTTTTCACTATCTGTAAAAAATAATTTTTGGACGGACACTATAATTTACAGTTTTTTACTATGTAAAATTTTCTTTAAAATAAAAAATATCTATATTGATTCTGACACCTCTACATCTAACTCACAGATGTAACCTTGCTTTGATAAAAGAAATTATTCATATAACCCTTTTAGAAGTGAAGTTGTAGTCATTTGTTTTGGGCGTGTCATTTTCGAGCCTGAAACATGAAAAACAGGCTAGGTGCTTAACAGGTTAAAACCCTGGGAGTTTTTCGGTTACGTTAATCTTCTTTATTGTCTTTTCTTGGCTGTTACATCAGCTAAGTCAGACATCCACAGGAAGTGTGCATACAGTGCATGAAAGGGAAGGGCATCACCAGCGCTCACTGGGAACAATTGAAAATACTTGCTGGCGTTTGAAAAAAAAAGAAGCTCTTAATGGACAGTGAGCCTCGGCTGGTTTAATCTCTCTTTTGTCCCCTCCTGCTGTGTTTTTATAAAGCCAAAGTGCACTTCTTTCCATTTAAATATACAACAACTACAGGGTATATGCAGGAATCCTGAAGTCAAATGTAATACCTTTTAAGACCTTTTTTTAAGACCCTTTCCAAACATTTTAAGACCACTTCGAGTTCTAACCGGTTACATTGGCGACACTTTACCTCACATTGACTATATACAGTATTGATTGTCCTCCCTCCTTATCTTCCAACCATTTGGACGCAAACTTGCATTTCCCCATAACGATGTTGTTTAACAACCGGCGTAAACGGACCTTCGCGCGCTATCAAGCAGTGAGCGTGCGATGTCCTGTTCAGATGACGTCAAATCCAACGGGATGCCATAAATAAACTAAAACAACATAATGACAGTCATTTTGTGACTTATAAAGGCAACCTGTTAATCAGGCAAGCAGTTATTTCTGTACGGGTGCACTGAGAAGTATCAAACACATCCATAATGAAGTCGTCTTTGCATGACATCTGTATTGTGTGATTTGATTTATTGATAATTAATGACTTTAATGCCACATAGCTCCAAAATGCAGGATCACTTTCATCGTTTTCAAAAGTGTTCCTAGTTAACACTAGAGCAGCAGGCTGGCATTTTAGTGTGGAGAGAAAGGAAGCATTTACTCTATTAGCCAGTACTAGTGATGCTCCGATCGCCAATTTTGGGGCCGATCGCCGGAATCAGTATCGACCGATAGCCGATCCGATCGAGTGGGCGGGGCCTATGGGGATCTTCCATTTAAAGTGATGTTTAAAACTCAGTTAATGGGGCTCATTCACTGGCGTTTCCACAAACAACCAACATAATTACTACATTCAAATTAAGTACATTATTCAAGTTTACATTAACTTGGGACAATAACACGGGAGAAATGAGCGGAAGCGCTCTTTTCCTCTCTCCCTCTCCTGACAGCCCGTCAGTATCTCCTGCAGCTCACTGATCCAGTAATGAGTGGCCCGACAGTGAAGAATAAATATATTTATAACTAGTTTAGCTTGTTCCAGAGGTAGATAAAATAGTGTGTGTTAGATCTAACTCTTGTGTTTCGCTCACCGGTCCGTCACAGCGGGTGGAGCTGCAGGATTTCTGCTTCACACACACGTTGCATATCGCTATTTTATTGTCTTTTTCGGACACCTTAAAATACTGCCAGACTGGTGAAGCCATTTTGGCGAGCTTGTTTTGCCGCGCACAGAGAAAAGTGTCATGTATTTTACGTCATGCGATCGGCTCTTGCGATCGGCATTTATAGAGAGCACCGATCGATCGGCAGAGAGTGAATATCGGCCGATATCGACCGGCGGCCGATCGGAGCATCCCTAACCAGTATGGTTTGGATGTTTGCTCAAGGCACTTAAACTGTCAAATTTCGATGAGTGACTAATATTTTGAATCCCTTTTTAAAGCCTATTAAGAAATCATTTTAGTACACCCGTTTTATTTAACCGGTTTAATTCGTTTATTTACACGATTACGCCTGCTGAAGTCCTTCATTCTTTTTAAGCACTTTGTACATGCATCTATGGAAAGTGATTTTTTTTGCAGAGTGAGCTAGAAAGTCATAATCAGGTAATTTTATAATTCAAATTGAGTATCCACAGAGGGTGTGTGTGTTACCTGGAACACCGGTCTTGGCGATGGCAGCAGCGGCGTGATCCTGAGTGGAGAAGATGTTACAGCTGGACCACTGAACCTGAGTAGGCAGAAGAGAAGAGGAAAGTGAGTCATCTCAACAAATAAAATGTATTGGATTACTGCTATAGTTGTTACTTGTATTTATGTCTCCAAATTCCAGTAGTCTTATAATGAAAGGGTTTTTGAGGCAGTGAACTTCACCTTGAAAACAATGTAAGGTCTCTACAATGTCATTCTGTTTAGGGCTGTAACTAATACTCTTATATGGTATGAGCTTTTAAAATATGTTCCTATGATTATTGGAAAGGACTAGCTCTACTGTGCGTACCATAGATAAGCAACTGTATGATAACTGTCAAATTTAAATCTGTATTATTTGTATACATATGACACTGGGATTACTGATAGTTTGGGGATTTAGTAGTGCTTTGAAATAGTGGTCTTGTTTCATAGTCGTTTGTTTGGTGTTTTACATGCCTGTATTTAAAAAAAAAAGTTTGAAAAAACGCTAAAGTAGGTTTAATGCGTTTTTTACAGGTCCACAGGTATCTAATGAGACTGAAACACTATAAAAAATGTTATATCCGTGACAACATCTTTAGGCAGCAGTTGTTATCAAATATGAATCTAAAAATAAATACAATTTGGACCATTGTTGTCCCTTTTTGGACCGCTAGCAGATTGTTACATTTTAAGAACCATAACCTTATGCAAACATCGAAAACACAAATCTTAAGCATTTAAAAAAAAAGAAAAAAGACATTATTTTGTCTTTTGTATTCTAAAAGGTCAAAGACCAGATTTGTGTGTATTGTGGAAGCTCAATTTGTAAGCTGCATATTTAGTTAGAGTATCATGAGCAGAGAGAAGTGTAACTTATTGAGGGGAAGAGCTGAGAGTGGGTTATTGATTCTCCGTTGGTTCGCGGGTGCTGGTTCCTGCAGGATGAAACCAGTCCTGCTCTGACAAAACAAACACATGATAACAGAAGAGCGGCCTGGGGCAGTCAGTCTGGAACCCTCTCTTCCCCTGTCTGAGTGAGCGAGTTTGTTCAGATAAATGGGTGGGTAAGATGACCTCTTAGAAATCACTGCTGTGGTGCCCTTTTCAAGTCAGAAGACGACAGAGGTTATACTGAGCAGCTAATGCTATGAACCAGATGCATTTTCTGAAAACTAGAAACTGCCTTTCTGCATTTTGACTTGCATCATTGCGTAACTTGCACCATCTATTTTTCTTTTAATGTCTCAGGTATATACCCTGAGACTTTCCATGTTTTCTTGCAAATTTGGCCATATATACACTTTGATGCCACAACAGCTTATTTATTCACAAGTGTCATCACTGTGCGACCAAAACTCAGGCCAGCGAAGGCAAACCCAGACAACGTAGCTTTACGGAGCCAAAACGGCAAATAAGTCTTATCTTTGCTGTTTTTCTGATCAAAAGTTGTGTTCAATGGCATTAAAACGATAGAAACGCTGCTGAAAGTTAATCCAATGTGTCTGTGTCACTTTGATATTACTGATAATCCATAATTCCATTTTTGTCAAAAACTGAGATTTCATATTAGCTGCTATGCGAGCTACAACCCAGCTTCCGGTTTTGGGCGCGCTGGCATGCATTCACCAATGGGTAATGTTTAGATGGATTTTAGGAACTTCCCCTCGATTCTATTGGCTCCAACTGTTAAAAAGAGGTGTCAATCAAAATCGACCGAGGGGGGCCAGAGATAGGTCAAATCCACCCAAATGCTGAACCTCGAAAAAGGTCACATGTCACTTGTTTTGCATCAATCTTGATACAGGGTACTTATGTTATAGTTTGGATTCCTAAAGCTTTTAGTCTACTATCCCATCATTCAAGGGTGGTTTTCACTATAAGTAATGTTTTTCTTTAGACAAACTATAATTTACATTTTTTTACTAGGTTCAATCTGAATTTACTTTAAAATAAAAAACATCTATATTGATTCTGACTCTTCTACATTCAACTCACAGGTTTATCATTGCTTTGAGAAAAAAGATTATTAATGTACCCCTTTTAGAAGGGAAGATATAGTGATTTGTTCGAGCCTGAGACCTGAAAAACTGGCTCAACTGGTTAAACTGGTACATTTTTTTAAGTATTGTCTTCGCACAGGTATTGTGATAAATGTATTTATGATGCCCACCCTATCATATATGAAACAAACGCCTGATAAAGACTAACTGAGACAAACGGATCTTGAAGTGAGTGTTTTATTCCTTGAAAAACCGGGCTTGAAAGTGTTCAACCACAAGTTCTGACAGTAAAGAAAAAGTATGATGGGCCTTTGAAGAAGTAAAAAAAAAGGAAAAGATTGCTTTTTTTCTAAAAATAGAAATGCTTATTCTCTGAACTGTAAGTTAATGGCTCTCAAATCTTTAGAAATAGAGTTTGATCAATATTCAAACAAGTTCATGTTTTTTGAGGTGGGGGTAAGTTCTCATCTATTCAAAGATATTATAAGAAAGTAAAATAAATGTGCATGCATTTGTTTGGAAATATAAAACATAATAACTTTTCCATTTAAAGCCGCAACTGTTTCCAATAAACTATTGCAAGCAAGTTGAGTCTAGTTTATATTATATTTTCTGAGAGTCTTGAATGATGAGTAGATTCTCTCTGGAAGAATAAATCTGAATAATTAGATGGTAAATGTCACCTCAGCTCCGATGGCGGTGAGGGTCTCGATGAGCACGGCGGTCTGCAGGGTCATGTGGAGGCAGCCAGCGATGCGGGCGCCCTTCAGCGGCTTGGACTGACCGTACATCTCCTTCATCTTCATCAGACCGGGCATCTCGTTCTCTGCGATGTCGATAGCCTTACGCCCCCAGTCGGCCAGGCTGATGTCAGCTGAGACGGGAAAAAAGGATGTCAAAACACAAGATACCAATATACCTAGGCATGTCGCGACAATCAATAAATTGACTTATCGTACGATAAATAAAAATGGACTCGATAACTTTACTGAGCTCGATAAATTGCCGTTTACATAAGGATGTGACCAGCATTTTAGCCAGGAGCGCTGTGGCTGCCGGCCACGCGCGCTGTGAGGGGCGGGGCTGACACACAGCCAGGTCAGGACACTCCGTGTGCACGTGCAGCAGCCAAATTAATAATATAGCGACAAGCGGGAGACAACGTGTGACTAACTCGCGGGGAATTCAAATTGAATTGGTTACAAAACCTAACTACACATCTCGATTCGCCGGTGCGGCAGTATTTTGGATTCAAGCCAAATCAAAGAGGCAAACCTACGGAATATATATATATATATATATATATATATATATATATATATATATATGCTCCAGAGGATTTAAAAAAATATACAATGTATATATATAAATATGGAGCAGAGAGAGGAGCTGTGGATTATTGTTATTGATTAATGCGTTTCTTAGGGTCAAAAACACTAAACTCACAACTTAAAATGAAAGCATTTGGTTATTTAATAAAAGAGCACATGTTCAATGTGAAAAGTGACAGTAGATGAGTTGCAATTTGGTGCTATATATATATATATATATATATATATATATATATATATATATATATATAGTAGGGGAAACACTGCCTATGAAACATCTAAAGGGTTTTTTGATCAATATCAAATGTTTTATTTTCAAATCAATAACATAATATATATGTTTGCAAAGGACACTCAACATGTCGATATTTGCTGCAGACTTGGATCAAAAAGATTTTAAGAGACACAGCATGGAACAGATTCATCTCATGTCCTTCTGCATTTCTTAAATCTCTTCCTGAAAACTAATCACGATTTGGAATATTGCTCTTCTACAAATAATGAAGTCTTGACAAAACCCAATACATTAAATCACATTCATGTAAAACATTTCAGCTTATTTTTTTTCCGATGCATGTTAAAAAAAAAGATGTCATTTTTTAACGAGAGAGAATATAATCGTTTCCCTGCTAACCAAGTTGCTGCTGTCCTGGGAAAATCCACACGGCCCCAGCTGTGTGGAATCTCATTTCAGACAGCTGCTACTGCACATGTGCAGTTTTGTGTTTTCCAAGAGCTGTAGTAGAAATTATTGTTTTTAGCTTTCTTTAAGTGTAATCCTAATTAAATGTAACTTTACACACATTTTATCCTAAAGTAATGTTACCTTTGAGATTACTTTGATGTTAAAGTGAAATGTATTTATTCTTTGAGAAAACATGTGTTTTAGTGATTCAGATGAGGTGTGTTGTTACTGCAGGAGGTTGAAGACAAACAAATTCCAAAGGGGCTTTTACAATATTAGTGTATAGCTTCAGGGGACAGGATGAAGGTCCTGGAGTACAACCCACCCTCCTCCTCCTCAACCGCAGCCTGTGCAAAATCCTTATACAAATACAGTCTATGGTCCAAACTGAGTCTGGGGTAACTGCACCAAACCGGCACTGGCCTGAATGACCGGCCAGAGACAGGATTAGTAACCCAAGTTCACCCCCAGGTCAAGTGGAGTGACTAAACTAAACTTTAGCTACCATCATCAGGTGTGAATCATTGGGTGGTTCTGTGAAGCAATAAGAGCCGAGTAGGGCAACAATATTGGCAGGAATGTTGGTTCAAAGCCCATCCTAAGCCATGTATAAACAGAAAAGTATTAGCATTTAAAGTGCAAGTATCCTGGCACATGTGCCTTAATAACTGAACTTTTCTGTGTGCCCAGAGTTCAAATAAAGTCAGTTATTTGAAAAGAAAAAGCCAGCATTTTATAAATGTTAAATAGTCTTTCTTTTTTAACTAATCAATTAAAGTATTATCGTATAAAAAGTGCATAAATTGCTGAAAATAAATCTTATTACCAACTATTACTGCTATAATGAAATAGCACACTCCAGCAATGAGTGCCCTCCACCCCCTCCTTAATCCTCAGAAAAGTACAAAATGTACATTTCGATGGCCATGGGACAATGCTTGGTCTACAGACAAAATGTTTGAATTAAAAAGAGATATTGCATCAATTGACCACTCAGGACTTGACTAACAGTCACTGAGGAACTGGTTGACTCTTGACTGAATTTAGTCAATAGAGAATGTTTAGACTTTGCCCCAAGCTTATCTGTGAACAGGACATTGTGCAACTGCATCTGCTTCTAACCAGCTGCTTCAAGCCAACAAGTGTCACGTTTGACACTCACAGAGTGCTGTTACAACTGCTGGAGATTTTAATGTATAATAACTAACATTATCTCCCATTGTACATACATTACCAGGTTTTCCCAAATGTAATATTAAAAAGTCTATGGCGCATTATTTCCCTATGCACTGTTACCTTGAATTTTTTTATTTTATTTAGCCTTTATTTATACAGGTGTAAAATCTCATTGAGACACAAGGTCTCATTTCCAAGAGAGACCTGATTTGATTTGATTTCTTTCTTTGTTTTTTCTCATCGCATACAGTGCTTCTCCATTTCTGGAGCCAAATGAACATACTGGCAAATCAAAGAAGATTGTTCTAACTCATCAAATAAAGAACGGCAACTAAACACTTTTTGAATAACAAAGACTTAAAAAAGAAAGAAAATTGTAAGTAATAAAATATAAGAAAAAAAAACGATGTTCAAAAGTGACATAAATCGAAACAATATTTATTTTTAAACCATTTAGCTCGTAAAGCGGCTACACATTAGCACCACGTGTAGTCCCAGCTTTACTACGGTATGTAAGGTGCATACAGTGCAGATCAGTCTCTGCCTGCTGCTGTCACTCATGCACAAACTGGCGGCGGGTTGCAATGCTTCATGGGAAGTGAGGTTTGCAAACACAGCCATGGCATTACGGAGATACCCAAATAAACTACAATATCCAGAGACTGGACGTCGTTTCTGTTCACAGAGAAAAGCATGCTCGGCGGTAGTACGACGGTCTCATTTCTATTCATTCTCAGATTTAAACTAACTGTGAATACTGAGAGTATAGAAAATGGAAAAGAAGATGCTAGAATCTAATCGACGAATAACAGAATTATGATAAACACGCTAAAAGAAAACATCATTTAACACATGCCATCAGGTTATGGTTAGCAATAACAAAGGCAGGAAATAACTACAACCTAAGCCATGCAATAAGAATAAAACCGTTTTAAACCTCTAATTGTTTTTCGTCTAACGATTAGGTTTTTGGCTCAACCGGCTGCTAGACATGCACGGAACCACAAACTTCACAACAAGCTAGCTAGCTAACCGTACGTGTTACCAAACGAAACATATGATTAGTAGGTTTAAATAAAGTCAATAAAACTGACACTTACCAACTTTGTAGTTAAGTTTGTCAGACATGGTTGTTTTCTGGTGTGTTGTTTTGGGTAGGTTTAGTGCAGCCTAGCCGACGAACAGAGTCAGAGAGGGAGGGAACGACACATGACCGCTCTCTTTTTATGTCGAGGGAGGCCACATTCAAACCGGCTAACGCGAGGGGACGGCTCGAACCCGGGTCTATTCTTGATTCCTATTGGCTGTCGAAGCTCCCGCCCCGCGTGTCAGATTTGTTATTGGATGACGGTGTATGTAGGAAAGACAGCCAATCATATCTCGAGTTGTAGTGTGGGCGTGACTGCTGGAATCGGGTACAACTTGTGTCTGTCTTTTATTTGAAACAGATTAGGCAAACGTTACATTAGGCAAACATTAGGCAAGTAAAACTAATCCTCACTCTAGGCCTCGTTTTTTTTACAAATTTCAAGAAAGAAATATTTTCATGAAGATTTAAACATTTAGCAATATTTTCGTGTATGCTTTGATGTATTAGTATTTATAAAGATATTAATGAGGAATGCATCAATGCATGGTATTATAGTAAAGATGCAACATTAAAAACATACACTGTTTTGTACTCCTATGTACTAATAATAGCCTCAACTCTAACCTGGCCTTTGCTCCACACTGGACCCTGTCTCAGTTTCACTGAGGGTCCTCACACTCATTCTTTCACAACAACATTTAATATTCACTCTTAATACTTACACTAAAATCAACTGATGTGGGTTTTCGGAAGCAGTGCACAGGATTATTTCCATCATTATCAGTGGTTTTACACACTAAAAACCCTTCACTAAATGCAGAGGAAAGTATTTGTTAGATTTATTTTGAGCAGCGGTCGAATGTAAGAACATTTACTCAAGTATGGTACTTAAGTACAAATATGAGGTACTTGTACATGACTTCTACTTCCACTCCACTATGTTTTAAAAGCCAATATTCAGTTTTTTACTGCACTTCATTTATCTGACAGCTTTACAGATTCAGATTATTAGCTAATAAAATACATCTACTAATACATTTGTACTTCTGCTTAAAAGTAAGAGTTGGAGTACTTTTACTTGTAACTGAGTATTTCTACAATTTACTTTTGCTACCTAAGTAAAACAATACACCTCTGAATTTTTTTTAATTAAATACTGTCATTTAGACACTATATTTAATGTGAAATTCACAAAACGGTTGAAATGCAATGCGTACAGATTTCTAACTGAACAGTTTTATTTGTTTATCTTAGGGCTGGACAATATTATATCCATATGGTTAAAGAGACTAAAGAGATATTCATTTAGGGGTATTTGATTAGATACATAGATACATTTTATTTTCTCCATATTGCACAGCCCTACTTTGTATGAACTTAATGTTAAATACATACAAGTCAACACATCACTTTTTCTTGACTCTGAAGAGGAACTAGTAATTTTGACATTTTCTTGAGTAAACATTTGAACTCACACATTTACTAAGCTAATATTTGTATACCTTTTCCCAACACACATAAGCATACACAAATATGCACAGTACAAGAAGAAGCAGAGCTGCATTTAAACCATGAAGAAGAATAAATATCACCAGTAGAGTAGCAGTAATTAAACAAATTAAAAGGAATCTGTGAATGATTTCAGATTCATTTCAGTTTATCATTCTCTTAACCTTTTTCTCCTTCTGCTTTCCCTTACATTTGTTGATTGTCATTTTATAATGTTTAACTGTACAGTATTTTATTTTATTATGTTTGCATTATAATAACATTATGTCTTAAAAAAAATAAAGGAATAGTGTAACTGGTGTAGCTAAACAATAAAACATGGCTGACTTAAACAATAATGTTTCTAGGTTCCCTGTTTCCTGGAGTGTTTGTCAGAAAGGAGGTCACTGATATGAGACAGCTCATGAACAAGTACTATCCAAACATCTGAATACTAATTGCTGCTATTTCTGTGAAGCCTTAGTTGTAGTAGAGATAAGATCCACATATAAATAGAGATAAAACTCCTTAACCACACCAGGGAAGTTAAAGGTGTCAGAGTGAGTGAAACAGGACAGGTTAGGGTTCACACAAGGTTAACAAAAACAAAACATGTAAGTAAGAGTCAAATCAAAATAACATCAGTAAAAAAGGTAAAGCTGTAGCAATGAGGCAGAAATGCAGGGAGCGAAAGCATGGCGTTGAAGGGGCTATACTGAGACAACTGGTAGAAACATTATACTTGAGAGTACTATATTTAGGAGCAAGTTTAAAGTGGTTTACTACAGCATAGTGTCACCCTATATCCCTCCAGGTTAAAGGTTAAATTATGTTTATCACCCAGAGGCAGCAGGGAGGGAAGTGAGGTCTACAAAACTAACCGCTGTCACCAGATAGCTGCAGTTATTTTCTCAGAAAAAAAGAATGTTCAAGACCTTTAGACGGGAAGTAAAAAAAAAAAGCCCTTTTCCAGTTTTTTCCATTGTTTAACTGTTGAAGTACATCAAATACAGGTTTTGGGGAGCAACAGGTTACATGACACAAGAGGTTACGTGTCATGTAACCTCTTGCATAACCACCCATTTCAGAATCATATAAAGTACAGAAGTATTATCAGCTGAATGTACTTCAAGTATCAAAGTAAAAGTAATCATTCTGCAGGATGGATATCTTCACAGTATTATATTATCCCGTTTTTATCACTGACAAATAGATCTAAGAGCATTTAAGCATTAATACTTAAAATACTCTACTGTGTAGATTAGTAGTACAGTACTGCATTATATCATATCAGCATATCATGTGTTTTTATATTTACAAAGTATAGTGACAGCAAGTGTTAAAATAAATGTAGTGCAGTAAAAAGTATGACATCTGCCTCTGAAATGGAGTGGAGTAGAAATATAAAGTAGCTTGCTAAATATCTTCTTTTCTAATGTCACATTGTTCTGTTGTTTTACATAAAACCCTTCAGTTAAAAACATCTTATTGATATTTTTGCATCGCATTTGACATTGAGGTAATCCAAAGGTTAGGTAAAGTTATTAGGTTATCTTACTTTTATATTGTGATACTCAGATTAAGTTACACTGTTGGTAACTAGCAGTTGTAACACAATATATTTTTTAAATAACCCTCCTAACCCTGGTAGGAGTGAGGTTTTTAGGGTTATGATGTGAAGCATGGAGTCTCTGGGGAAGAGCCGCAGTGGTTTGGAGCTGAACACAAACTAAAGAAACTCCATGCTGCTGAAACAACTCCTCATCATGACCCATACATTCTGATGATAGTATGAGGATCAGCAGCCCTGGACAAGTTGGAGGAAATTCACAAAAACTGTCAAACATGTCTGATCATGTTTTGGAAAGAAACTAGGAACTGTAGTGCATACTGTATTACGAGTTTGCTTCCTTCTGAAAGTGTATAAAGCAAATATTAGAGAGGAACGGCATTTCAGTCTCCCTGTTTGTACCACACAGTCAGAGATATTGATATGAAAGTTTACATTTTGACTTGACTATTCATTTTTGAATTTGCCTCGGGACTACAGGACTATAAGCATTTTCGCTAACACTGGTATTTTAACTAAACGTATTCTTTGAGTTAACTAATATGCTCTGTAGGCTACCTGTCAAATAAACAAATATAAAGTAGCATAACATGGAAATGCTTAAATTCCAGTTCAGTAGCCTACTTGAGATGAGGTGATCATGAGAAAGACTAAATGTTTCATCAACGTACTGTTAAATATCCAGAGCCAGATTCCTGATGATTGAAAAAGCCATGAAAGGGAAACTTATTTCTGACAGAATAGAAAAAAAGTGCACAAACTTGCACCAAATCCAAACTTTATTAACATAAACTCCCCAGTCATAAAGCAACATGGCCGCCACACGGAAAAATCTCCGGTCTTTTCACGCTGTGTTTCTGTCAACAGAACATGAGTGTTTTTAGTTAACAGAAAAAAATGGAAAACAGAGTTTATTGGCATATGCAAGATTCATCTTTCAATAGTTTTAATTACATATCAGGACTGGGGTCGACCTAATGACAAATAAGGTGATTTTGCGTAACAGAAATGTGTTTTGAATCGCTTTTTCTTTTACAAAGACTTGTTTACATTTCAGTCTAAACCATCTTTTTGAATTTGGACCGACCCCGATCCATAACCGGGTGCTGACAGAAGGAAGGGAAGACATGAGAAAAGGGGAAGTGAGCAGAAGTTTTATGACGAGACAAATATGTAGTCTCTCAGCGTTTGAATCCTTTTTACTCCACAGGTGAGCCAAGAGCAGATTGAAGACAAACATCCAGCCCAGCGTCTCAGTTTGACTAAGTATTCACAAGAGGTCACTGTGTCAAAAGGCTGAAAAACACCACACACACACACTCACACATTATCTTCAAATTCAACCAATGTAGGATTTTCTCAGAGAGCATCACAGTGACAGACGAGGCGTGGAGTGTTTCATGTTCCCTCTGGCAGCCATATTGAAGGGACAGCATACAAAAAAAAGTGGAACAGCGGAAGCAAAAGTACTCCGATCCTAATACCACAATCTACAAATACTCAAAAAAAACCTGCTCGCACAATTGTCCTTTTTTAAATGTTAAGTACATAATATTTTCAATTATTGGAGGAACCTGAGACTTTATATTGATATGCTAAAACTACACTGTAGCTATTGTGCATATGACAAATAAAGCCTTGAATTCTTTGAGAAGTGAAAAGAAGTGGAAATAGGGGAGTAAAAGTACAATGTTTCCTACCTTCTGATATATAGTGGAGTACAAGTAAACATACTTAATTAAAGTACAAGTTCTTCCTAATCTTACTCAGCAATTTGTAAATTGACAGTTTGTTACGTGAAGGATTATCCAAAACATTTACAGTAAAGTACAAGAATCGCAAAGTGACAGTACTGCAAGTAATCCACCACTGTAACAATTCATTCAGTTAATTAAACAGTACATTAGAATGCTAGCCTAGGGCTAAATATCACTAATGGACAGAAAATCACTGAATCATGTACTGTACAATTTTAGGGTATCTTAGTATTTTCCTTTTATGCTACTTTATACTTCTACTCCATTACATTTTGGAAAGCAATAAAGTACTTTTTACTCCACTACCTTTATCTGACAGCCATTGTAGATTCAGATTCATAGCTAATATTAAATATAAATCAGCTAATGAATAAACATGGACATATAA